TCATACTGGGCCCCGAAAGAAGAGGCATCGTTACTGAAAACAAAGGTGCTCATGGGCCAGCAGATGCAGACTTTATCATAGTCAGCACCGGTACTTAAGATTCCATCCAAGTAGATGCCCTCGATGCTGAGCGATAACTCTACAACAACCCTTCACGGTAGATAAACTGCAGTGCAGATGACAGTATTGGAATAAGTGTGCCACCAATCCGGGGTTTGCTGAGGATGATGTCACTGTAGTCAGATGGTCCAGAATAAGCACCCAGTCAGGGACAGGCAGGCACAGCAAATCTGCTGCTTCATGATATACAGTCAGAGTGGAAACTGACAGTGCCACTGTCAAAGGTACTGGAGTCAATGGTATAGATTCCCCCTGATCCCACCTCGGTACCATAGAGCGTGCTGATGGCCCCATTCTATCCCACATATGAGGAGACTACTGGTGCTAGCTGGCACTTCTCATACACAGAGAAGACGGATCTCTCTGACTTCTGGAGCGGCTTCAGTCTGTTTTGTAGGTTCTTTTTCTCAGGGAGCCTGACGAAGGAAAGCGGTCTGTCTTCCTTCTGGGTGAGTAATCTGAGCTCATTCGAGAAGTATCTGTCTGTACCGGCTCAGGCACACTTTGCAGGTCCTGACAGTCCACAGCAGTCCCCAATGCTGAGGCAGGTCTCATTGCCTGCTCGAGAAGGTGTTGCTTTTATCTTAAGTATCTAGCCACCTGTGTCCTCTTTTTAAAGGACTTACAACTAGAGCACCTTTTTTTATGTGCCTTTCCCTGAGGCACAGTAAGCATGTAGTGTGGGAATCATTATGGGGGAGAGCTGCCCTAGAAGAAGGGCAATGATTAAACTCCGATGAGAGCTGTGACGTTGCACTCCATAATGTTTTATGGAAATATGCTTATGAGTGTGAATATAATGTAACTGGAATATCATTACAAAGTTTATAATCTACTGAGTGTGTTCATCCTATTTGTAAGAATGTATCATTCTTGTATCTGAAACTAGGAATATAAAGTATTACTCTGAGTGTGCAAAGTGTGGACCATTAATGGTGGTTTAGAATCTTTAGAATGGTTTAGGGCCCATTGACTAGGACAATTGGTTGTAAATGGCTCTGTTTACTTGCAAACCTTCCTGGGTGTGGGCGGGCCAGCCCTGGAAGAATGAAGACTGGGTCTCAAAGGACATGTGACCATGTCACAGGATACTGGAATCCATCCAAAATCTGGTACCTTTCCATTTAGAAGGAGGGGTGCGGACCCAGAGAGACAAAAGATTCCTGCCTTATGCAAAAGCTATAAAAGGGGGTGGAACAGAACAAAGGGGGCTGCAGTCATGAGAACACCCCTGCTTTCCACCTAAGATGTCTGCTGGAACTAACAAGCATTGTATCAGGGGAAAGGATTGGGCCCAGACTAGGTTATTGGAAGCTTATTGGAACATCTCTGAGGGTGAGATTTACTTGTATACCTCTACCCTGATATAACACGAATTCGGATATAATGTGGTAAAGCAGTGCTCCGGGGTGGGGCTGCGCACTCCGGCGGATCAAAGCAAGTTCGATATAACGCGGTTTCACCTATAACACGGTAAGATTTTTTGGCTCCCGAGGACAGCGTTATATCGGGGTAGAGGTGTACTTGAAACCACTTAAATCCTACTTTTTTTATACTTAATAAAATCACTTTTTTGTTTATTAGTAAACCCAGAGTAAGTGATTAATACCTGGGGGAGCAAACAGCTGTGCAAATCTCTCTATCAGTGTTCTAGAGGGTAGACAATTTATGAGTTTACCCTGTATAAGCTTTATACAGAGTAAAACGGATTTATTTGGGGTTTGGATCCCATTGGGAACTGGGTGTCTGGGTGCTGGAGATAGGTGACCTGCTGAGCAGTTTTTGGTTAAAGTCTGCAGCTTTGTAGGCATGGACCAGACCTAGGTCTGTGTTGCAGCAGACTAGCGTGTCTGGCTCAACAAGGCAGGGTTCTGGAGTCCGAAGCTGGTAGGGAAAACGGGCTCAGAGGTAATTCCAGCACGTCAGGTGACAGTTCCGAGGGGGTCTCTGTGATCGAACCAGTCACAAGGGCATCCCACTGGAAGAAACTACCTAACTGCTAACTAATGGTACTAACTATAATTATATACAAAGAAAGTCACAAAGAGCTATGAAGACAAGTGTAAGGAAAGATCATGCTAAGAGCTCCAACTCTAGCCGCAGGTGGTGAGAAGGAGGTTGGGACGGTGCAGCCCTTATATAGCCATGGGAGGGGCTATGCAGGGAGGGGCATTGAAGTCTGCACGAGGAGGGGGTGCTCTGAGCACAGAGACAGAGATTCCAGACAGAGCTCAGAGTCCACCTATAAGGACAGATAATATAAAGTGTCTGGAAATAAAACCATCACTCTCTGCATGGTGTCATGGACTGGTAAGGATATGGAGCAGCTTATGACACAGATACAAATTTCTCCAACACTGACCCCAGCTCAAGTGACACACTCTTGGTTTTGATGTGCCCCTAGGAGAACTGGGATCGTCATTGATGTCAAAGCACCTACTAGTACAGATTCCATTACAGAGAACGTCATATGCAGCTGAGCTGCCCCTAGAGAAGATCTATTCCTCCTCTCTGTCCTTGGAGCATATGTTCTCTCATTCTTCAGCAGAGAACCCTCTCCTCTGAGGTCAGTGATGAACACCACAGAAAGATATACTAGTTTTCTCTGCAGGGCTCAGACACTGTGAGCTCATCAGAAAAGACACTGGCCTGGCCAAAAATATACAAGTCAGCCATATTACATTATGGCACCACAGCCTATTGAAGATACTGCAGTACACCATACTCACCGAAGAGGTCACTTCCCTCATCACTTGTCTCTGGCCAGACTACCTACGCCAGAAGATCAAGAAGAAGGGGACAGAAACAATAGCAACCTATATCGCCTCTACAGGTCCTCATCTTCATTGCCTGATGAAGCAGTACTGGTACCAGATGACTTAAAAGCATTCCAGAATCTTGTTAGGATTGCTGAATTCTTCGAGTGCTGGCCCCTGTGTATATTCCACTGTGGGTACACATGCACTCCCTTTGAGACCAGAGAATTCTTGCAAGCACCGTTCGTTGGTCTACACCTGCACCCCTGTTCTCCTCATGCTCCGCATGGGGAGTATAAGTGGCAGGGTGGACTGACTGCCTCTCTAGCTCCTTCTTACAGCTGCATGGCCTGAGTTGGCACCATGCATGGACACCTCCAGTGTCCAGAGCTTCTCCTTTCTCTTCAAGATGAGGCAGTTTTGGCTGTCAGACTTGTTGCAGATAGCCCCTTGTGCACCTCTCAACCTGCCCTGACATAATATCTCAGAATAAAAGTCAGATGTTGCACCTGATGCCTTGAATTTTGACTGCTGAGCACTACTGATAGTATTCCCTCAAGATTAACTTCTCAAAATGGAAAATATATTCTATATGAGCCATCCAAAATGATACAGGCCCAGGGGAGGCCCTGAGACTCATCGACTTTAAGGCCAGAAGAGACCATCATGATTAAGGTTTAAGATTTTTTCACTGTTATTTTTAGTAAAAGTCACAGACGGAGGCAATAAACAAAAATTCATGGAACCCTGTGACATTTCTGTGATTTTTACTAAAAATAAGGGCAGGAGGTTTGACAGGGGAAAGATTGAAGCCCAAGCAGAGGGGAAGAAAGTCTGAGCCCTGCTTCTGGGGTGTGTGTGGGGGGTGGGGAGGAATCCAGGACCCACCACTGTGGTGGGTGACAGCTCTGGGGCCCCTGCCGCAGCCCCAGCGGCTCGGAGCTCGGGTCCCTGCCGCCCATGGCAGCTGACAGCACTGGGGGTCCCGTGTCTTCCCCCCCACCCCGGCAGCTCGCATATCCTGGGTCTTGTAGACCATGTTCTTTCTTTTATTGTTGTTTGGGTTTTTTTGAGATAAGGAATGATCATTGTTATTCTGGTAAAACAGCTTAACATAGATACCTATTCCCCCAACCACTTTGGCCTCAGAGTTCTGTGTAATTATTTTGTTTAATTGTTTTTAAGGAATAGAGGCAGGGAAGTTACTGTCCATTGGGTAACTGAGGCAGATGTACTCCTCTAATGATGAGGCAGTGCAATAGTTAAGACCTTTAAGCTATGCAGAAATTTGACCCATATTCATAATAGGAATATGATCCACAAGTTGATGATCTATTGTCACTAGATACCTTTTACAAAAATGCTAACAATGGCAAATAACTAACTTCCTGTTCTTTTATAGGCATAGGCTTTTTAAAAGGCTTGTTTAGTAGCATTTACAAGTGTCAAAGTAAACACTTATCTGACTCATGAAGCAATGTTTTTCTGTTTTGTTTTGGTATTTTTTTTTAAACTAACAAGATGTCCTGTTTTGGTCATTAGTAGAACTAATTTTACTACCTGAATTTCTCTGTTTATTAGTAGTTAGCTGCAGTTCTTCCTGTTCTAGGATGGTGAGTAAGGCCATATTATCTATTTTGCTAACTACAGAATTACCTGCCCGAGTCCTGCCGTGTGTGCACCTGAAGTTCAAGAGTGAACTCAAAACTGGCTCCTTAAAGGAAGTAGGGAGCAATACAGAGAGCATGCTCTTTGTTTTAGTAGTGTTTGTGGCAGGGAGGATTTACAGTATTAAGTGCCTCCAAAGGGTGAAAGTATGTGACGTAGGTCGCTTGCTCTGGCTGCATTAAAATGGAAAAGGAGATAGAGCTTTATTCTGTAGATGGAATAAATATTACTGAATCTCTCTGTGTTACAAAACGGATTTTAAGGTGAAAGAAGAGACTTGGGTTTGAATACGTAAATCCAGATTCCGCCCTTAGTTAAAACCCACTGAAGTCAGTGGGATGGTTTGGACATAACTGAGAGCGTAATTTAGCATTTAAGCTGAGGAGGTACAGCTTGCCTATATTTATTAAGTAGAGAAGTTTCTTTTACATTTCCAATGTTGTAATTTTCTTTCAGTGGGAGGACAGAGGTCCAGTCTGTGCAGTATGGTAAAGAAAAAGCAAACAAAGACAGGGTATTTGCCAGGTAAGTTATTTACATTTGTTTGTATGGAATTTAATTATATGGTAATTAATACTTCTTTCAACTTAGACGTTTTAGTAGCTTACTTTGTGGTAATTTTGACACACGCTAGAGCACTTCAATAAGCTTCCTCCGAATACCAGTATATTTGGATGGAGATGTTATGATAAACTACTTTTCTCTGGTTTTTTTGTTTGTTTGTTTTGTTTTTTTTAAATAATGGACATGCAAGCTTTATCTCTTGTGAGCTGCTCTTTTGGTGGAGTTTAACCCATACCAAGGAGTTATAATTTGAATACTGGAACATATCTTTTTATCTGAGGGGGGCAGAAGCGGTAGAGAATCACATAACCGAAAAAAGGATACTCCAGTATCTTCCTTTTTATGTGTTCGCAAAGAAAAGATTGCAAACTCTTCAGGGTGGGGACTGTCTTCCAATCTGTACAGTACCTAGCACAGTGGGGGGCCTCAGTACAAATAATAACAACATTTTCGACAAGAAGAATTTTCTTATCTTCATTCTGTTGAACGCTTATGAGTTTATGGGTATGTTCATTCAGTGATAATATTCTAAAATTGTAATTCCCTTTAAAATATTTGCCCTAAATGCCCAGATTTTTATAAATATGTGCTTCACTATAACCTCTACTACCGTATTTTTGCTATGAATTTTCTTGAGAATGCCTTCAGAAGTGATTCATTATATCATAATTGGCTGACTGTAGAAACTGTTCTGCAGTATTGTAATTCTAATTATTATTTTTCTGCTGGATTCCATAGTGTCCACAATATGCTAGGCACTTAACAAACAAAAGGAAGCATTGCTCTTGCCCTGAAGAGTTTACAATCTGAGACAAAGGGTAGGGAAATGGAAAACAATGTATGTGTAAAATAGCTAAACTGGTGATTGTCCATGTCTTGGAAATAAAATGTTTTAATGAGACAATACGAAGATTTGTATGTCTCCTGTTCTGATTTACCCACATTCTGCCATGTATTTCATGTCATAGCAGTCTCGGATGATGACCCAGCACATGTTCGTTTTAAGAATACATTCACAGCAGATTTGACAAAACACAAAGAAGGTACCAATGTGAGATTTCTAAGGCTATGTCTACACTGCTGTGGTAAGTCAGCCTATGCTATGCAGCTCCAGCTACGTGAATAACGTAGCTGGAGTCGACATACCTTAGGTCGAGTTACTGCGGGATCTACACTGCATCGACTTACCTTACACTTCTCATTGGGGGTAGAGTACAGGGGTCGACTGGAGAGCAATCTGCAGTCAATATGATGGGTCTTTACTAGGCTACGACAGTGCCATACGGAAGCCTGTTCTCACTTTCAGGTGACATTGTAAACAAGACGTGGGCAGCATTATCTCCTGCAAATTGTAACGAAACTTGTTTGTCTGAGCGACTGGCTGAAGTAGGACTGAGTAGACTTGTAGGTTCTAAAGTTTTACATTGTTTTGTTTTTGAATGCAGTTATATTTTGTACATAATCCTACATTTGTAAGTTCAACTTTCATTATAAAGAGATTGCAGTATAGTACTTATATTAGGTTGTAATAAAAAATAAATATAGAACGAGCACTGTATTCTGTGTTGTAATTGAAATCAATATATTTGAAAATGTAGAAAACATCCAATAATATTTAAATAAATGGTATTCTATTAGTGTTTAAGAGTGCAATTAATTGCGCAATTAATTTTTTAATCGTGTGATTAATTTTTTTATTGCTTGACAGCCCTATAAATTAGCCTTCGAGCTAGCCAGTATTATGGCTCAAAGTGCTGTCACATGGAAGTCAAAGCTTGAAAACGTTCCAAAGTACTACAGTACAGGGTAACAATTTTATTGCAGATAGTTTAAAACAAAACTAAGATTAAAGCCAGTTTATTATTATTTTTATCTCTCTCTAATCCAGAGAAAAAGTATTTCTTTTGGATGGCCGTCAAAATCGGAACAGCTACTTTTGGCTTAATATCCAAAGGTGTTTTACCATTTATGCTCAGTAGGTGTGAGATAACATCCTGTGATCTTTCACGTCCTATTGACTAGAAATGGACTACCAAGGAGAGATGGATTTTTTCAACACTTCCATATAAAACGTCTTTATATCATCATCCCAGGTTTCAAAATAAAAACACATACCCCTAATCTCTTTTCGTTATCCGAGTGATGTAAAGGTAAAGTCTCTGAAACTGCACCAAAAGGCTCCAATCCTACAATGTTTTTAATTGCACGATTAATCGTGGTTAATGTTTTTAGTCGCTTGGTAGCCCTGTTATTAACATTTTGTTTTTATTTTGAAGAACACTATAGTAGTGATTGGGAAAAGCTGTGAATAAGAGCTTGTCTGCAATTATTGCTTTTCAGAAAGTTCTGACCTAATTAAAAACTACACTCTTGTCAGACCTCAAAAGCTAAGTATGGTTGGGCAGAGCCAGTACTTGGCTCCAGGAATACATAGATGTCTCAGGAAATGATGTTCGTTATTAAGTAGGTGGCACTCTTCTCTTTGAGTCAGTGCTGAACAGGGTAGATTTGATTTAAATCACTAGTCAGGGAGACTCGATTTAATCATGGATTTGTACATAAAAGTGCATTCTTGTTGGTTGTTATAAACTTAATACAGATTCTTCACAACTCAGAGATAGATGTAGGTTTCATTTTTAGAAGGTACACACTGTACATTTTTAAAGTGATTTATTTTGAAAACTTTTCAGATTAGTTCTACAGCTATATCAGAAAATGAATGATTGTTTGGTTATTTCATTAACCAAAGGTAATTGAAGCAGATATTTATGAAGTCATTGGGAGGTGAACTATCTCCAATTCAACAGGTTAATAATTAATATTTGAAGGATTTTCTTGCCATGCTGTATTAGGAGGAGAACATCACCAGACAGACATTTAAATTGTTTTATTTAACTAAAACAACAACGTGTTATGTATTCTGGATTTTTTTCTTGATCAGCAAACATATAATATTTTAACAAAAAAAGCATATGAATTTTTGAATTTAGTTAAGATTGTTTTTAACTAAAATAGTTAAATGAAATATTTTTTAAAAAACACAAATTAAATTGACTCTGTCAACCAGGTCAACATGAGAAACTTAAAATATTGGCTTCTGCAGCTAACTCAGTCATCTTCATTTTCCTGTTTGTTCATAATCTGGAAAAGAAAAACAAGCTTTCCTGCTTTTTCAGGTCCCAAACGATTTCTCAATTTGGAATGAATTAGTCCAAAGGAAGAAAATACTCTTTCTACACCGTCAGAAAAAGCTACTGCTGTTAAAAGTGAGATTATCACTTCAACAGTCTCTGAATCCAAGTGCTTAAGTGACTTTCTTTAAAAGATCATCAGCAAACATAGATTTCTTCAACAGTTCACCCTTAGCGCTGAAGTTTATTATAGTTGGCATTATGGAGGGATGATTGCTGGATGTCCATGTCATAGCCAACTCCTCTTCTTCAGCAGTTAAGGTTTGACCCTGGTACCGAGTATTGAGAATATTCGCAAGAAACTGAGCTAGAGATAGCACTTGTCCCATTCGTTTTTTTTAATGCTTGTAATTTAACTCTGTCATTGCATATTTCTCTTTTTAAGATCTCACTCACTTCATTCCAAATTTCAACAGCATCAGCAATAAAACAGTTATTTCCCTGCATTTTGTTGAAGGCTACAGAAATAGGCTTCAGGGTACTCAGCATGTGTTCAGTACAGTAACTCCTCACTTAACATTTCAAGAAATGATGTGGAGAAATTGGAAAGGGTCCAGAGAAGAGCAACAAGAATGATTAAAGGTCTTGAGAACACGACCTATGAAGGAAGGCTGAAAGAATTGGGTTTGTTTAGTTTGGAAAAGAGAAGACTGAGAGGGGACATGATAGCAGTTTTCAGGTATCTAAAAGGGTGTCATAAGGAGGAGGGAGAAAACTTGTTCACCTTAGCCTCTGAGGATACAACAAGAAGCAATGGGCTTAAACTGCAGCAAGGGAGGTCTAGGTTGGACATTAGGAAAAAGTTCCTAACTGTCAGGGTGGTTAAACACTGGAATAAATTGCCTAGGGAGGTTGTGGAATCTCCATCTCTGGAGATATTTAAGAGTAGGTTAGATAAATGTCTATCAGGGATGGTCTAGACAGTATTTGGTCCTGCCATGCGGGCAGGGGACTGGACTCGATGACCTCTCGAGGTCCCTTCCAGTCCTAGAATCTATGAATCTATGAATCTAACATTGTAGTTATGTTCCTGAAAAATGCAACTTTAAGTGAAACAATGTTAAACGAATCCAGTTTTCCCATAAAATTTAATGTAAAGCCGGGGGGTTAGGTTCCAAGGAAAATTTTTTGGGGCAGACAAAAGGCATTATATACTGTACAGTACTATACTGTGGTGGGACGGTGCCCCTGGCTTACCCCTGGGGCTCAGGGCTGGGGTGCAGGGTCTGGGAGGGAATTAGGGTGTGGGAGGGCGCTCAGGGTGTGAGCACGGGTCGGAGGACTCAGGAGGAGCAGGGGCAGCCGTGCAGCCAGCGGCCGGAGAGAAGCGTCGCTTTCCTCTTCAAAGCGCCGCTTCTCTCCGGCCAGCTTTGAAGGGGAAATTGCTGTTTTTTTCCGGCTGCGCGGCTGCCCCTGCTCCTCCTGAGTCCTCCGGCCCGTGCTCGCATGGCCGCATTCCGAAAGGGGCTTTAGAGCTGCAGGCCAGGGCCCCGGGGCCCCCTTAGCCGGGGGGGGGCAGCTTCCCCGCTCGCTCACTCCCTTTCTCCCAGAAAGTCTGAAGCGCTGCCAAACAGCTGTTTGGCGGTGGGGGAAGTACTGGGAAGGAGAGAGGGGGAGGAGGCGGAGAAGAGGAACTCGTGCAGTGCTCCCTTGTAAAGTCAGCCATACGACGTTATAAGGGAGCATTGCACAACTTTAAACAAGTATGTTCCCTAATGGAGCAGCGATATAACTTCGAAACAATGTTAAGCGGGAGTACGGTAAGTGAGG